AACGGATGACAGCCCAAGTTATTCACAGGCATTAGTTATAAACCCACTACACGATTGTTAGAGAAGGAGGAGAGGCAGGGCCCTGAAAGTGGCCTGCACATCCCAAAGGATCAAGGAGTGGGTCCCATAGCTAGGAGGAGGAATAGATGAGATCCCAAGGGTAACAGGCCCAGGAGGACGGTGAGCTGGCGGCTTCATGGGACAGAAACCTGATGCTGAGTGCCTGGGCACACATTAGAGTGTTCTGAGCAGAAGGCTACCATCGCAACATGTTGAAACAGCAACCTCATCAGGAAGAGAGGTGGAGTAGGCAGTGGCCTGTGGGCAGGTTCAGCGTGTCACTGGTGGGTCAGATGTGGGATACAAGAGAAAACTCCAGGGTGACTCCAGAGATTTTGGCTGTGGTAGCTCTTTGCATAGAGGAAGAAATTCACAGAAAAAAAGAATTTTGGTGGGAACTGGACCAAATACTACTACTAAGAAATACATTATTTGTTCTATCTGGATGAACAATGCCTTATCCGTTAGGTGAATTCTTCTCTGTTTTTAAGGTGGGGGCTTGCTATGTAGTCCAGGTTGGCTGTGAAATCATGAAACCCCCTACCCCATCTTCTGAGAGCTGAGAGTTTCTAAGCATGCGCAGCCAACCTGACTTGCTCTAATTGATGTCTGGTCTTGAGTTTTGGCTAATGCTGTTCAGAAGTAGGAAAGTCACTTGCTCCCAAACTGTAACATTTGTTTATGATCTGATTCAAGGACTCAAGTGCCATTATGATATCTCAGATTGTAGAGCACCTGCTGCATGCTCTCAGGATACTTGCCGCTCAAGGACTGCATCCCCATTTAAAGCCCATAGTGGTTTTGGTATGTGCCAATGAGGTTCAGAAGGGTCAGAGGACTTACCTACATCACACAGCCAGACATTGTTAGGACTGGACCTGAATTCCTCATATCCGGCTTGCAGCTCTGACTAAATTCTAAAGTTGAGCTCTTCTGACAGACATTCCTCTGTCACTAATCTAAACGTCTAATGACAAATACAATAAAAAAATTGCAAGAACCACAGTAGGCTCACTCTCTGGGCTCCACTATGCTGGTTCTAGACTTTGCTGACTGCGGTATTAGTCAGTGATGCTGGAAGGGCACTGCGTATTTCTTTCTTGATATCAGCTTGCAGACAGCTTAGTCACAATTCTTGGGACTGGTTAATTCTTGTCGTATGAACAGTAAATTTAGATGAACATTGACTGTAGATGTGAGACAGTTTTTGCCACTTAGAAGTTTTTTTTTTGCTTCAAGTATTATTTTTTTCATCTTGAGAGAACACAGTACCTCTTGAACTCTTCAAGCCAAGCCACATATGCGCCCATTTAAGAAACGGAATCCTTGACACGTGACCAATAGAAAGCTGCTGAGAGGTAGTGGCTCCCTAGTGTGGAAGTCAGAAGCAGCCAGCAACTGTCAAGGCTTCTCATAAGCACTTGAGCAGCCCACCTCTTAACAGAGTGTTCAGATGGAACCCTCCTTTGTAACTGCTACAGTGCGCCCAAAATGCCTTTGTTTCATTCTCACAAAAAAAAACAATAAATAAATAAAAGATAAAGGAGAAGGCTCCAACACTAGTCCTTCCTGCTCTGTCCCCTTTCCTTCTCCAGGGCTCAGCATCGAACCCAGGGCCTCAGACATGCTAGGCAAGCACTCTGCAGCCGATGCACCCTATGACACTCAGTTCCATTTTACCCTCTGAGGGAGCAAGTCTCAGAACAGTGGAGGACCCATACCAGTTCACCAGATTGTTAACAGGAACCAAGTCTCCCTCATCTAGGACCATTGCTCTTTGTTCTACACCAGTTCTCAACCAGGGGCAAGTTCGCCACCCAGAGAACAATGGGTAAAGTCTGCAGGCATTTTGGTTATCATTATGGTCATAGGTGTAGGATGGTACTTGCATATATTGGGTAGATTCCAGAGGTGCTTTTAGATGCCCTAAGGTACCCAAGATATTTACATAAAGAATGGTGTTAACCATGCCAGTGCCAGAATAAGGAACCTTTCTCTATACTATATAATTGTAGGCTATAGAATAACAATATTAAATAGTAATACCTTAGCCATCTATTGTAGTTAGAGTAAGCCAAAAACCATAAGAGGTTTTATACATCATTTCATGAATAAGTAATTCTATAATCTCTGAGTAGGGAGGCTTTGTTTTTTTAAATCCTATATTCACTTTTATTTCATTTTAATTGTCATATGAAACATGAAAAATGTAACTATAGGGTATTAACTATATTGTTTTTTATACATAAGAAAACTGAGATTCCGAGATGTCAAATACCTTGTCCAAGGTCACGTATCTCAAAAAAAAGAAGACCCATGTATTAACCTACAGTCAGCCTTCTCAGCTCTGTGGTCTATATATGTGCCTATATGTGGAGATGATAGATAGATAGATAGATAGATGACAGACAGACAGACAGACAAACTATCTCAGAAGGTAAATGTTCTTGCCACCAGGTTGCTGGGAGTCACATGGTGGAAGGACTGCTGTAAGTTGTGCTCTAACCTCCTCATACATGTACATACATGATATGTGTGTACATACATGCTTACAAATAAGTATAAAACATACTGTAATAACTTCATCCTGCAATGAGCTGTATTGTATGGGACAGATTGGAAATGAGTCATATTCCTTCTCCATCTCAAGCAGGATAGAATTTCAAGGGCATGTTCTTGCATTCTCTAGTTTGGTCAAAGCTAAGGAAATTTCAAAATTATCATGGGATTTCTCATTTTTCAACCAACAATTTTTGTTTTAGTTTTGACTAAGTAAGGCTAGAAGAAACAGGGTAAGTTTTAAGTCGAAAATACTGGCATTTGTTGTACTTTCTAAAATACCAACCCTCCAAGTTTGCTGATGACTGTTTTCTCTGTGAATTTTCACCCTAAAATAGGATATGAAATTAAGTTCCGCATAATGCAGCTGCTTGGGATTTTGTGATTTGTCTGGGCAGGACTAGGTGCATATGCCTAGAGAATTCTTAGAGGAAGCTTTTGTTCTTTTTTTGTGTGAGGACAAAAAATAATATGAACAAGGCCTCAGCTCTCATTCTCCCCGTTTGTATTTCATGTCCCAGGCAGTTCTGACGTTAGAAAGACTGTCACTCACTGAAACCAGCCTGCTTTGAGCTTTCTATGCTTCAGACTGTGAATGAGCTAGATAGGCCACACCCTACAGAAACATACAATCTAGTCTGGGAATCAAATCAGAAGGGCAGAACCACATGAAGCCCTACTAGCTGGTTCCCATCACATCACCACATCTGTCATCTTGGCAAGCTAATGGTATGTGTTTGGCACCATCATGATGGCTGCTACCAGTTGAATCTATTGCTAGATTCTTGTACCAACAAGACTCGGTTGATGCTCAATAAAATATGTTGCACTGATTAATTTTATTCCCTCTGTAACCACAAGATAAGGGACCATCTCCATTTTAATGATGGAAGCAAATGAGGTATTTGTTTCCCTGCTGCAAAGACAAAAGCAGGTCATTGGACCCCTCCTGCCCTTCCACCAGGCCAAACCTGTTTCAAGAACAAACTCAGGTTTATTTTGGAGGAATGATCATTCTCTTACCATTTCCCTTTGCTCTTTCATCATCCTGATCTCTGTGTTTTGGGATACTGTCCATTGATCTCCTTATTCAAACTCCAAGGATGTGGGAAGGAGCCTGTAGATGTAAAGTGCCCTTACATGGACCTTTGCTCTTTCCCACCGAGACCCATGTCTGTTCCCCTGATGTGTCCAGCTGTCAAAACTGACTGTCCTCTATAGATCCTGTTTCTCATCTCTAGTCCCTGGCCACCTTTTGCATCACTAACTTTGGGTGAGATGGACACTTGTCAGAAACTAAACTGAAAAAAACATTTTGTCAGTGTTCTCTCTAACTAGCACCTGGACACATCTGGTTTCACAGTGTCACTGTTGTCCTTGAGACTGCTTTTCTGCTCAACTCTGGGGTAGAGCTGAGGGGGCCTCAGCCTCTGAGAGCTCCCTCTCGGAAAGGTCTAGCCTCTCCCTTTCACTGTATGCTGCCTGACTTCTTTGGCAGTTCTCCACTGGTTGGGTCCCTCTATTGACTCAGGCTGGTAGGAGCTTGCTGTTTGGGGTAGTAGTGCATGGGGAAGCAGAACCGTACTTGTGTTACTATTTTCATGTTCATACCTCGACCCTTCATTTTACTGCATCAAACCTGCGGGGTGTTATGTATCTCTCCTTATGGATAAAGGTCTCTCCTCTACCAAACAACCTCAGCTCCTGAGTGGCAATACAGCTTTCACCAGTGCTCACTGTGTGAAAAGTAGTGAGTCATGTGGCTCCATTTAGAGTGGTTATAGCTGTCCCGTGGCTTTTGTTTTTCCTCTTAGCACCTTGGCTTGCAACAATTTGCCAAAGAACACATTGTTGGGTTCTGTACCTGAATAGTATTGACTTGTCCCATCACTTCCCAAACACTCTCTTGGGTTCTGCTTTGTCACAGACCATTTTCTGCAGTATGGTAGTTTACCACTCTGGGCAGGGCAGATGTTTTCCAGATTGCGAACACTGCAGTTTTTAACTCACTCTGTCATCAGCCTTCTCCCGTATTTCATAGAAGACCTGTTGCGAGGCAATTTGTCATTCAGCCATTTCTTTAAACCAAAATTGAATATTACAGCGAGCCGAATGGTGGTGAGGGGTGGAGATGAACCTTTTGTAGTCTGCAGAATTCTAGGAGGGCTGTTTTTGTGCTACAGATTTCTAAAATGTACTTTAGTTTCTAGTTTTCATGTATTTTCAACAAAGACATTAATGTTAGTGAACCAAAGAATGTTACTCAGCCATGTTATATTTTTAGTCACAAAACAATGCACTTTCAAGGTAGTTTTTGTTGTTGGTAGTGGTGATGGTGGTTTAGTTTAAGATTAGTTTTTTTGTTGTTTTTGCTTTTTGTTTTAAATATGGAACCATGTATGAATTTGCATGTCATCCTTATACAGGGCCGATGCTAATCTCCTTTGTATCATCCCGATTTTAGTATATGGGTTGCTGAAGTAGGCACTACTTTTATTGTTTAATTATGAGTAAATCTGTGCATGTATATGGGTCTGCAGATGTAATGTGTGAGTGCAAGTGTCCATGGAGTCTAGGGAGGGCATCAGATTCTCTGAAACTAGAGTTAAAGATGGTTGTGAGCCATCCCACAGAGGTGCTTGGAACTGAACTAAGGTTCTCTGCAAGATCAGTATATGCTCTTAACCACTGAGCTATCTCTCCAGCCCTGTTGATTTTTAGCCATGACCATGAAATGCTACGTTGTTGACCCACTGTGCAGCTGATGTTGAAGTAAACTTTGGAAAATCCATCACTCCTCACAACCATGCCAATAGGAACTGCTCATTGCCTCTCTTTGATGACAGAATTCTGATATCCCACAATGGATGGTTGCTATTGACTTGGTAGCAGTCATTCATGCTTCTGGCAGGAAGCAAATAGCACAATCAGAATAGGAGAGTTTGGATAATTGTTTAAATGGGTGTGTTATCAAGGACATGGAGCCAGGGAAGGAAGAAACTGGTTCCCCATGCTTTCCCTGAATCCACCCATCGCTGTTGCCTCCAACCCACTGTGGAAGCCAGAGATCAGGGCCTCCATTGATAGTGCCCATAGAAGTCAGCCTTGGAATGAAACTGGATAAAAAAAAGACTAGGAGTAGATCTGGCTGTCTGAGGACACTTAGGATGGAGTTAAGAGTTTTGCAGGGCTCTAAATAAACTATGTTGACCCAAATTCATAAAACCAGAGAACCTTGGGAGGGCCCATGAGACTCACCAGCTTCGTGTAAACACTGCAGGTGCCTTCAGGAATGCAGCACTTGTTCTGCTCTGAAGTGGAGTGGTTCCCAGCACTCCTGGGTCTGCTTCTGTAACACAGAAACCAAAACTGAAGAGCTAAGGGTACAGTACAAAGTTGGAGTCCTTGGCAAGCATACGCAGACCCTGGTCCCACCCCTAGTACTATAGATTTGAAATGTCTAACTCATCCTAACTTGGCTTTCTCTTGGCTCCTCCGTTTCTTTACCTATCCTCTGCCTCTGCATGGTTCTTGCTTTTTCAAATGAGAAGACACCTCTCTAGAGTAGGATACATCATTTAGTGTTTTGTAACCAGGGCAGGCAGAAGTAGTCTATGGTATACTTGGCTATTTCCCAGGACTGGCAATGGAAACTGCTGTGTGGCTGACCCGAAGGCCATGTATGATGTCCTTAGGGCATTTTCATCATGCTTTGTGTGCTCCACTTGAACCTTGAACTTGCCAATGAAATATATTACTGTTCTTCAAAGGGAAGGAAGGGAGTTACAGCACTACCTGTTTAAACTTTGTAAATCATGAGTTTTATGAGGAAGGTCTTTCTTTAGCTAGAGTGCAAATTCTAGCGTTGATCTACAAATTTTAGCTGTTGATGTGTCCTAGGATTGGCCCTCTTCAAGAAGGATATGGATATCATTGTCACTGACCAAGCGAAACAGGCAGTTCCCCTGAAATGTAGCCCTCTACATCTTCATTTTGATTTGCTGTTTAACAGTATTAGACAAAGTCATATGGCAAATTATAAATCCACTCAATGCTGCTACCACCCCACCCTCTGTATCACCCATAAGGATGTCATGCACCAAACAAGACACTTGGTCAAATGTTTTGCCCAAGTTTGAATGTATTGAATGTACCACTCTCAAATAGGTCTACTAAAAGTAAATGCTATTTTAACTTTTAAAACCTAGTAAATGTTTCCACTTAAAGATTAGCCCAGGAAGACAATGAGCAAAGGAGCCAAATGCACCATCCTCCAAAGATCTACTAATGGCTAGCAAACATATGACAAGACACTGTGTCCCTTCTCATTAAAGAATACAAATCAAAATGTCATTGAGTCACTACTTGATGACTATTAAAATGGTCACTATTCTCCTCTTTCCCGCAAATCAATAACAAGCATGACTGAAAAATGTGGGAAAATTGGAGTTTCTGGACAGCATTGATGAAAATGTCAAATGGACAGCTACTGCCTAAAAAAATTCTCCCAAAAAAGTAAAAGTAGAACCCACACATAATCCACCAGTCTCACTTTTAGGTTTTTATCTAAAAGAATTGAAGGCAGAATCTCGAAGAGATATTTAAACGTTCATGTTCACTACAGCAACCCAAACAGCTGTGAATGAATGGTGTTTGACTGGTTTTATGTCAACTTGGGAGGAGGAAATCTCAACTGAGAATACAGATAGGCCTGTAGAGTGTTCTCTTGACTGATGGTTAATGATTGATGTGGAAGAGACCAGGTAACTCTGGGTGGCACCACACCTAGGCTAGTGGTTCAAGATGCTGTAAGAAAGCAGTCTGAGCAAATCATGCACAAGGCAGTAAGCAGAATTCTCCCATGGTCTCTGCGTCAGTTCCTGCCTTGACTTCGTTGGGTGATGGTCTACAGGCTGTAAAGTGAAATAAACCCTCCCCCCCCAAGTTGCTTTTGGACCAGATGTTTTATTGCAGTAATAGAAACCCCAACCAAGATAGACTGAGGTGTATTCTATACATACCATAGAATATTGTTCAATTTTAAAAAGAAGGAAATTCTCATACAGTTCAACATGATAAACTATGAGGACATTATTCAGAGACAAGATAGGCACAACAATAAATGCTGTAAGATTCCACCTTCATGAGGCTCAAAAACCATCAAACATGTCAAAATGGAAAGTAGAATGGTGATTTCCAGGGTTTGATTGAGACAAGGAATAGGAATGAATAGAAGTTTCAATTTTGCAAGATGAAGAAGTTCTCTATGTCATTTTCCTGATAATATGTATATTTAGTGTCATTAAGCTATGCTTAAACATATAAACATTTATATGCTTAAACATGGTCAGTTTCATTATATGTATTTTTTAAATTGAAAATCTTTTCCTTATTAAGAAAAATTATCCCATTTTTCCCTTTTACACAGGAAAATAATGAAGTCCTGAATTTATCTTTAGTAAATGTGTAACAGATTCCAGTTGCTAAGATTTTGCTCTATTGCTCACAAATGGGCTATATTCCCTTAGTGTAACTAAGGCACTCACTGCACAGGAATCAACTTCATCACTGAAGCTATTTCACTGTTGAGCACAGGGTTTATCTGCAAATAACCAGTGTGTTCTGGGTGTTTCAAGCCTCAAGTCAGGGTCTTAAATGCTAGGCATATCTGTCACCTGAAGACCTAATTATGATTCTTTTACCCTTGGCTTCCAGGCTATCAGCATGGTACAGACACACTTATTTTAGAGTTTTCAGATAAGTGGTAGTGGTTTCTATTTTCTATGACGTTTTTTCACATCTCTTTCAGATGTCTTAAGACTTGTTTCATGTCCTTAACATTCTACAGTTTTCCCAACCTTTGCTGTTTAAAATCAGCACATTATGTTTTAACTCAGGAGTAACATCTCAAGTGATAAGATCACTTTACTAAAGTCCCTCTTAAATAAGAAATCATGTTTTCCTTGCTTTAAGCCCCAGGGTAAAAAAAGGTATTTTCTCCATTATATTTAGTCACTAATCAAAATACTGAATGGCATTGTAAAGATAAAATAGGAATGTCAGGTGTGTGATACCAAGCTATTGATTTCTGGAAGGAAATTTGTCATGTGATCTTTACTACACTGTTGGTTCCAAACATCCCAAGGACTCAACGTGATGTAACTAACAAGTGCATTTAACTTTTAAAGTTATCTCAAAGTATTAAACATCATCACCATTCTAATTTCTGGTCAGTTTCTCAGCAGTGCCTTTGAAGTTTCTGATACCCTTCCAAGTGAATAGTAAGGACAATGCTCCTTGTTCCAGGGTGATGTATGTGTTTGGGCCAAGTATGATCCCCATAGATGAGAGTCCTTAATGAAAGGGGATCTTGGAATCCAAAATGATAAAAGCATCCTTTCCCATCCTGTGGGTAGCTAACCGTGACTTAATGTAGGAAGCATGGCAGTATTGGTGGCAGATGACACTGCTTCTACCCAGGTTTGGCAAATAATTTATCCCTTCTCAGCTTTAAGGTCTCAGCATGTAAACTGAGATCATGCCAAAGTGCTGGGTTAAAATGAGGGGTGAAAATTCTTAAACCGTAATGGCTATACAGAGGCAGGTGAGATGGATCAGTGGGTAAAGGCACTTGCCATCAAGCCAGAGGACCCGAGTTTGATTCCTAGGACCCACATGGTAAAAGGAAAACAACCAACTTGCCCACATTTTCTGACTCCGAAGACACGCTGTGGCACAAATACACACCCCACTCTACTCCCACACACTACACTTTTTTTTTAAATTTAATGGCCAGGTAGTGGCTAGTTTTGTAATCTTTCATAAAGGCTGCTTGTTCTGTGGAGCACCTTTTTTTAAGGTTTCGTGTTGTTGTTGTTGCTACCCTTGCTGCTGCTGTGCCAGAGCTGGACCCTCTTCTAGCCATCAGCAGACAGTGTCATGGGGAAGGAATGGCCATGAAGACCTGGGATACCCTGAGTTTGTCTTCTGTCTCTCCCAACATGACCACCCATTGACCCTTGGGACGCTTACACTAGGCAAGAGGACCCTCAGCCTGCTGTGCTCCCGCCATCCTCTGTGTAAGCAGAGGAGCCAAGTCTGGGTGTGCTAAAAGGATTTAGCCTCTTGAAGTTTATTCTCCAACAGACCCACAGGAGCATTTTCCCAGACCGCCCATTTACAATAAAAGGCCTTCCTTCCATGCATGATCTGATAGGGAATGAATGTAGAATAGACTCCTTTGTTGGCAGACAGGTGAGACCCTACTTTCTCTTGTTGCTAAAACTCTGGGCTGGAAAAATAACTAGCGTTATATTAGTAGTAAATTAGCCTCATTCCCTTTGTAATCGTTACGCTTATAATGACTTCACGGAAAATCCAAAAATAACAGCAAGGATAGCCCGCTCATACCGAGAAATTCTATAATGTTAATAATATAGTATCCAACAACCAAATAGCAATTTTCAATTATCCAGCGTTTCTTTCATG